GTTCTAGAGGAAAGCTATGATCAATTTAACTCTGTTATATTCTATTTTTTAAACTGTTCTTTTATGTTCTATGGGAAATTGTTTTATTCTACATGGAATTATTATGATTAAAAGTTGCGCCTCATGCTCTTTGATTATTTGTCAGGTCGGTCAGTTTTCATTCGACCATTTTTACAACAACAACTCTACTAAGATTTTAAACTTTTCGACATTATTACTTTCGGCATTTTTGGTTTTCGACATTTTTACTTTCGACATTTCGCTTTCGACATTTTTCCTTTCGACATTTTACTTTTCGACATTACTCAGTACATTCTCAATGAGCATAGATTCGGTTCGGTGCATCTCTAGTGTTAACTAATCGAAAAAAGTTGTTATCCCTTGAAAACGAACGTCGGTTCGTTGGCTTGATTATTTGTCTATGACCATTGAAAACGGCCTTTGTGTGCAGATTATCGAACTATGAACAGGTTTTGTTTTGCTATTCAAAATTTGTTTTCTTCGATAGAATCTGGGATTTTTCTACGATATCTATGAAAAAGTTGACACATGAATAATCCAGAAGTAGAAATGGAATTGATGTTAAGTTTCTTAGAGCAGATAAATCAACATGGGTTGATTAATATTAACAACGATAGAGACGATTTAATTGTGTCAATGACACCAGATAACCAAGAACAATTAATTGTTGAGAAACAAAACATAAAATATTTAATGAATAAAGAATCACGAAGTATATCGAAATTAAAACTGGCAGAATCTTTATTAAAAAATGGTGATTTTCAATTAAATAATGACCGAAGTGCAATTCAATATCGTTGTTATTACGTTAAGCATGTATATATGTTGGAGAAATGGGATATAACAAAGTGGTCAGATATATTAATGAGAAAAGTTGTTGAAAAAAGTTGTCGACGAAACAAAAATCAAGCCTGATTGATTCTAACGACAACATTAATGAAACAAGAATGGCTTGAAAGCTGGCCGTAGGAATGCGTGTATTGTATAGAGAGAAAGCAAGAAAATAGTATGGAGATGTGGCGACCTCATCAGGATGGGAATACAGCTCATCGATCTTTTTCACTGATCGTGAGTTTTATAAACTTTTTTCGAATTTAACATTGTAGTAAACATTTTTGTTGTTCTGTTATATCAATGTATAGAGTCTGAAGAGCTGTCGACGACACAAGAATCAAGCTTAAATGTTTCTAAACAGTGTCGATGAAACAAGAATACGCCACTGGAAATATCTAAAAGGAAATGTTATGATTTGTAAAGCAAAATCAAATCGATTACATCCTTTGATCTCATTATTAGTAGAAGACAAATACTCTCTGCTTGCTCCTAGGCTTTTCCCTTGTGAAACTTTTTGACCATTGCGTAATGTAATCATAATAGTGCCATCCGCACAGAGTAAAAATTTTTCGTTTAGCTCAAGTATATGAATAATACGTTTTTCTTGCACTTTAATTCTCATTAATATATCTGACCACTTTGTTATATCCCATTTCTCCAACATATATACATGCTTAACGTAATAAC